TGTTTTTTGTTTTCCACATATTTGTGAATTTTCCAATTTTCCTGGAAATCTGTTATTTTAGGTTCGTTTTATTGTGGTTAGTGAGAATATTTTATATGATTTCACACTTTTTATACTTATTGAGACTTGTTTTGTGGTCAGTCCAGAAGAATGTTCCATGTGCACTTGAAATGGTGTTGAGTAGAGCGTTCTATCTATGCCTGCTAGGTCTCTTTGGTATATAGTTTTGTTCAGGTCCTCTGTGTCATTATTAATCTTCTGTGTAGATATTCTATCCATTAATGAAATTAGGATATGAAGTCTCCAACTGTTGTTGTAGAGCTGTCAGTTTCTCCTTTCAATTCTGTCAATGTTTACTTCATGTATTTCATGTCTCTGTTGATGCACATGTGTTTTTATCGTTGTTAAACTACTTTATTAATCTAGTTTGAATTGATGCCAGTTTAGCTCCACCAACATACAAAAACTCTGCTCCTATAAAGCCCCATCCCTCGCCCTTACATTGTTTTTGTTGCAAATTACATGTTATACATTGTGTGCCTACTAATATATTGTTTTATTTATTTGCCTTTTAAATCATATAGTAAGTGAAAAGGGGAGTTGCAAAACAAAAAATATAATAATACTGGCTTTTATATTTATCTGTGTAATTAACTTTTACCAGAGTTCTTTATTTCATTGCATGGCTTCAAATTACTGACTAGATTATTGTCTAGTGTCCTTTTATTTTAGCCAGAAGGACTTCCATTAGCATTTCTTTAGGGCATATCTGTAAGCGATGAACTCCTTCAGCTTTGTTTTTCTGGAAATGTCTTCATTTCTCCTTAATTTTTGAATGATAGTTTTTCTGGGAATAGAATTTTTGGATGACAATTTGTTTCTTTCAGCAGTTTAGAAATGTTACCCAACTCCATGGTTTCTAATGAGAAATCTGTTAATCTTATTGATGATCCCTTGTATTTGATGAGTGACTTCTTTGCTGCTTTCAAGATTCTCTCTTTGTCTTAGTTCTCTGAAAATTTGATTACAGTGAGTTTTGGTGTGGATCTCTTTGCATTTATCTTTCTTCAAGTTTGTTGAGTTTCTCAAGCGTGTAGATTTGTATCTTTTATCAAATTTGGGAAGTTTTTGGCCATTATTTCTTCAAATATTTTTTACATTCCTTTCTCTCTCTACTGTTTTTCTGGGATTATCATTATGCATATGTTGGTATGCTTCATGATTTTCTTAGGCTCTGTTAATTTTTTTCCTACTTTTTTTTCTGCTTCTGAAACTGAATATTTTCAATTGACCTGTCTTCATGTGAGCCAATTTGTTCTTCTGCCTATTCAGATCTGCTACTGATACCCTCTAATGAGTTTTTCATTACCTTGCTGTACTTTTTAGCTCCAGAATTTCTGTTTGATTCCTTCTAAAAAATTTCTTTATTGATGTTCTTATTTGTTTATATGTCATTTTCCTGGTTTCCTTTAGTTCTCTGTCCATAGTTTCGTTTAGTTGAGTATATTTTAGACAATTGTTTTTAAGTCTTTGTGTAGTAAGCCCAATGTCTGTCCTTGCTCAGGGACAGTTTCTGTTAATTTCTTGTACAAAATGGCCATAATTTCTTGTTCTTTTTATGTTCCATAATTTTTGTTGGAAATTGAACTTTTTTTTTTTTGAATGTCTGGCAAATTTTAGTTTTATTCCAAGAGTTAAAAAAAATATGGTGGTAAAATATACATAACATAAAATTTATCATTTTAAGCATTTTTAACTATACAATTTTGTGACATTATCTTCTCATTGTTGTACAACTATCACTACCATTCATCTCCAGAATTTTGAAAACTGAATAGTTTGAATATTACAACATGGTAACTCAGTATCAGATTCTTTTTTCTCCTCAGTGTTTGTTTTTGTTTCTTGGTGTAGACTGTAGTTGTTCCCATGTTTAGTGACTTTTTAAAACTATATTTGTTATGCCTTTATTTTTTGTCATGTATGGTCTCTGAAGGCTCTATTTCTTTAGCTTGTGAGCTAGTGTTTGACGGAGATTTCCTTCAATGCTGGAAGTCAAAAATAAAAAATAAAATAAAATAAAGAGGAAAAAAAGAGACTGTCTCCATTTCCACTTTTACTTTTTTCAGCTTCTACTAATTCTGTTTTTTTTTTTTTGCTTGTTCTGAATATATATATCATCTTTTTAAAAAAATTGTGGTAACAAACACATAACATAAAATTTACCCTCTTCACTATTTTTAAGTGTACAGTTCAGGAGTGTTAATATACTTCACATTTTTGTGAAAAAGATCTCCAGAACTTTTTTATATTACACAACTGAAACTCCATACCCATTAAACAATAACTCTCCCTCCTTCGCCCGTCCCTGGTAACCACCATTTTACTCCCCCCCGCCATGAATTTGACTACTTTAAATACTCATATAAGTGGAATCGTATATTTAGCATAATGTCCTCAAGTTTCATCTATGCTGTAGCCTGTGATATTTCCTCCCTTTCTAAGGCTGAATAATATTCTGTAGTATGTATATACCAGAATTTGTTTATTCATTCATCTGTTGATGAACAGTTGGGTTGCTTTTACCTCTTGGCTATTGTGAATAGTCCCGCTATGAACATCAGTGTGCAAATATGTCTTCAAGACCCTGCTTTCCATTCTTTTGGATATATATCCGAAAGTGGGATTGCTGGATCATATGGTAGTTCTATTTATAATTTTATATTTATATAAAAAATTTCTCATTTTGGGTGGAACTATTTTCCATATCCATAGCCCCATTTTACAATCCCACCAACAATGCACAGGCTTCCAATTTCTCTATATCTTTGCCAACAACACTTGTTATTTTCTATTTTGTTGCTTGCTTGTTTTTATGCAGTAGCCAACTTAATATGTGTGAAGTGATACCTCATTTTGGTTTGATTTGCATTTTTCTGATGATTAGTGATTTGGACATCTTTTTATATGCTTGTTGGTTTTTTGTATATCATCTTTGGAGAAATGTCAATCCTTTACCCATTTTTATATGCTTCTCCTTTTCCCTGTGCTACTCCTTTTTCAGCTGCTGTTCCTTTTGTTGATTCTACCTCCGCTTCTGCTTCCTCTTTTTTCAGCTTCTAATTGTGCTTTTCTTGCTAATTTGTCATATGCTTCTCCCTTTTCCTATGCTTCTCCTTTTTGCTGCTGTTCTTCCTTTGCAGACTTCTCCCCACTTCTGCTTCTCCTTTTCAGCTTCTGCAGATTCTGCTGCTTTTCTCTGCTGATTACACATTGCTGCTTCTTCAGCTGACTCTGCCCTGCTTCTGCTCCCTCTTTTTTCAATATCTTAGTCTCAGCTTCTCCTTTTCCCTAAGCTTCTCCTTTCTGTAGCTGTTTTTAATTCTGCTGACTTTACCCTGCTTCTGCTTCCTCTTTTTTCAGTGTCTGCTGATTTAGTCTCAGCTTCTCCTTTTTCCTAAGCTTCTGCTTTCTGCAGCTGTTTTTAATTCTGCTGACTCTACCCTGCTTCTGCTTCCTCTTTTTTCAGTGTCTGCTGATTTAGTCTCAGCTTCTCCTTTTTCCTAAGCTTCTCCTTTTTGCAGCAATTTTTCCTTCTGCTGATTCTGCTCTGCTTCTGCTTCCCCTCTTTTGGTATCTACTGATTTAGCCTCAGCTTCTCCTTTTTCCGAAGCTTCTGCTTTGTGCAGCTGTTTTTAGTTCTGCTGACTTTCCCCTGCTTCTGCTTCCTCTTTTTTCAGTGTCTACTGATTTAGTCTCAGCTTCTTTTTCCTAAGCTTCTCCTTTTTGCAGCATTTTTTCCTTCTGCTGATTCTGCCCTGCTTCTGCTTCAGCTTCTCCTTTTTCCAAAGCTTCTGCTTTCTGCAGCTGTTTTTAATTCTGCTGACTTTCACCTGCTTCTGCTTCCTCTTTCTTCAGTGTCTACTGATTTAGTCTCAGCTTCTCCTTTTTCCTAAGCTTCTCCCTTTTGCAGCAATTTTTCCTTCCGCTGACTCTGACCTGCTCCTGCTTCCCCTCTTTTGATATCTGCTGATTTGGTCTGTGCTTCTCCTTTTTCCCATGCTTCTCCTTTCAGTAACTGTTTTTCCTTCTGCTGACTCTGCCTCCACTTCTGCTTTTCCTTTTTCAGCATCTGCTGATTGTGCTGCTTTATTTGTTGATCCTGACTGTGCTTTTCCTTTTCCTGCTGATTCTGCTTCTCTTTATGCTGATGCTGATTTCCCTTCTGCTACTGATATTGATCCTGCTGCTCTTCTCCTTCTTAGTCTTCTACATTTTTATGCACTATTTCTGATCTCCTGTAACTTCACTTTTACATGATCCTTAATGGCCCTAATGACAGCTTAGGTTTCCACTCATAATTGCTCTGATGTCTCAATTTTTCAATTTCAAATTACCTCACCACCCTCCTCCCGCCAAAAGAATATGATATTAAAATAATGGTACTATGTCATAGGTAGCCGGTTAACCTATGGATTAGCTGTTACTCACTTAGGTGCTCATTTCTGGAGTGGTCAGCATGGCATAGGCTGAGGAGCAGAAGAAGCAGAAAATTACATGGTACAGGATGTGACCATTTACAGTCATAGGGACCAGGTAATCCATAGTCCTTAGAAGGGACTGTACTTGAGTAAGCCGTACTTGTCCTCTCTGCTGGAAGTGGATTGAGTGAGTGAGTGAAGGATGAGGCAATAATGTGGAGTAAGTTATTCTTTTTTACAAACTCAACAAAAAGAGTATGGAAGATAGCTACGTAGCAATGTGGCTACTTCTGTACAGAGAAGAGGGAAAGACTAGAGACAAATAAGAGAACAAACAGAGGGAGCAAGTTTTGTAGCAAATGGAATTGAGATTAAGAGCATAGAATTGAAGAGTTGACCACAATTGAAGATGTGATATAATATCCTTTGAAACTAGAAGAAAGAAGGCCAAGTTGGCATTTTTCACTTTTATGATGCTGTGAAGGTGTTTTATTATTATTTTTTTCTTTTTTGTTTCAGGTCCTGAATCAGTGCCTCCTTCCCTTCTTAAAGTAGTGATGAAACCCATAGCAGCTGTTGGAGAAAGCTACCAATATCCTCCTGTGAACTGGGCTGCACTCCTCTCTTCACTTATGAGGCTAAACTTTGGTAAATATCAGGTGCTTTTAGGTCTTCAGGCTTTGCTTTTAGGATTTGACCTGAGTAGAAAAACAGATTCTGTGTCACAATTCACAATTGGTAGTGACTGGATAGGCTTTTTGGATCTTGAGGCTTGTCATTTTGGATGGGATGGCTGGCTGGTTACTTTTACTGAGTTATTGAGCCCTTGGTCTCAAGGAAGTAACATATGGGTATCTGTATTAGTTTTCTATTGCTGCTGTGACCAATTACCACAGACTCAGAGGCTTGAAATGACACAAACGTATTATCTTACAGTTCTACAGGCAGAAGTTCAACATGGTTCTCACCAGATTAAGATCAAGGTATTAAGATCAATTCTGCAGAGCAGAATTCCTTTCTAGAGGCTGCAGGAGAGAATTCATTTCCTTCCCTTTTCCAGCTTCTAGAGGCTGCCCACATTCTTTGACTTGTGGCTCCCTTTATCCATCATCAAAGCAAGCAATGGACGACTGAGGCCTTGATCTTTTTGGTTCTCTGTAGTCAGGAAAGGTTTTCCATGTTTGAGGACTCAAGTGATTAATGGAACCACTTAAATAATCCAGGATAATCTCCTCATCTCAAGGTCCTTAACCTTAATCACATCTGCAAAGTTCCTTTGCCATGTAAAGTAATATATTCACAGGTTCCAGGGATTAGGATGTGGACCTCATTGGAGGCCTTTATTCTGTCTAGTACAGATACTTGTGGTGAGAGGCAAAGGGAATGTGTACCTCAGCACCTCCACTTCATCCACAGCAACCTCTTTCATACAGAATGGAGTTACTACATGCAAATATAACTTCATGTACTTGCCAAAAACTCCAAAAAAAGGAGGAGTGGGGAGGGAGGAAAGGAGAATAAACAGTGTTGTAAAATTGTGTGTGTGTATTTGCCATGAGTGCTCTATCACTTACAGTAGAGTACTTACAATGTACAGAGTGTATACTGTGATTTATGTGCAATTTAAGAGATAATTAAAGATAATTTTGACTGTACACAACTTTTCACTTAAATGCTTTCATTTGAACCTAATCCCTGCATAAGGTATGATGTCACCATGCTGGGTTCCAGAAATTTCATTTGGAAAATATACTTCTCTGTCCCTCATCTGCTTTTGTGTGCTGTATTAAAAATGTTTTTGTGTTTTAGTTAAATCCTTAGAAAAAAGAAGAAAAGGTCTTATTGGGAAAATAAGTCTTCTAATGGGAATCAGAATACTAAAAAGAATCGATTAGTAGAGAATGTGGCTACATCTTTAAGCCATTCTAGACCTAGAGGAATTTCTGTACGTGCTGAATATGAAGCGGAGAGAAGGAGAAAACAGAGACCAAGAGATTTTTAGCTAGAATTTTGTCATATTTTTGATAATGTTTAAGTGTTTAGGTTTCTCTGGCTATCATAAGAGAAATTTTCTTAGATAATTCAAGGCCCTTGCCTGTTCTAAGACTTGGGACTATGATACCATTCTTTTGCCTCAAAAATAATAGGTCTCTTGAAATACCTTTTGGTTTACTGAAGTTCTATGATCTGCAAAAGTCACATAGCAGATACTTTGATTGGAAATATTAAAGCCTGAAAATGAATCAGAGAAACAGCTATATTACTGATATTCTCTTCCCTTCTTCTCTTTCAGGGGAAGACATACAGCAACTGTGCCTTGAAATTATGGTGACCCAGGCACAGTCATCCCAGAATGCATCTGCATTGTTGGGTTTATGGGTGACACCACCACTGATCCATGGTCTGAGTGTATGTAGTAATTAAGTGTGGGGCAACACTTTTTATATGGCCCTTTTGGGGGAGATTAACATTTGTTCGGGTGTGTGTTCTCAAAGTCAAGAGTGGACAAATGGGATTTTACAAAAATTGAGGGCTTGATGGTAGTTGGCCAGCAGATTGGAAAATTATATAGTTCAGAACCCTGCCATAGCCATTACCATTCATGCTTTAGCTACTACTTATTTCCAAAAGGGGGAAATGATGATCAGAGATATTACAGTTTCTTTCTCAAGATTATACATCTAGAATTTTATAGAGTTATTTGAACCTAGGTTTATTTGATTATATGGTATATGCAGTCATTTCAGTACATATTAAGAAAAAGGCAAATCTGCATGCACTGGACTCCTCAATACATTATCCCTCCCTTTCCCAGAGGAGACAGTAATTAAGGTGAGCATTGAAGACTTGGTGGGATTTGGTTAGGCATTAGGTCAGAGGTGTCAGGTGTTGTAGGTGGGAGGGCGTCGATGGAGAGAGTGGAACGTCTCTGCTAGGGTGTTCACCTGTGGAGCATTCAGCAAAGTGTAAGCTTGAGCACAGTGTTGAGGAAGAAGTGACACAGCCTAGTGTATGTGATAGAGAGAGGATGCTAGCACCTTCCAGTATAGGCCAAGGGGAGATAAGACAAATGGGGCAAGAGTGTTTAGAGATGTGAAGTTAGTAAAGATGTGTAATTTTGAGTACATTTCAAGCTAGGACAGAAAAATTCATTTCATGATTCCTTAGAGATTTACTAGTTGATCATAATTAAATGATTAATCTTTGAATTCTCTCCATAACCTGGCTTATTATTCTTCTGTTCTAGGAGGCTTTAGTTCTGTGAGAATAGTGCAAAGCCCTCTTCTTATCTCCTCATCTCTTGGCTTTAGTCCCTAATCTGCACTGTTTTTGTTTTTTGGGTTTTTTTTTTTTAACCTTTCCTACTCCTCCTAATTCTCTTTAATTGAAGGTGGATGTTTCTGAAGGTGTCTACATCCTTTCTGTTAACTATCAACATTACTTTGCCTGTTTCAAGTGGCTTCCATCCAGCTACCACTTACGGAGCACTTGCCGTGTTCCTGCTACTTACAGGCATCAGATTTAATCTCTCTTCAACTCTGACAGGTCAATTTTTAGATGGCTTTTTGGAATTAGAATCTATATGCCCTAAAATGTGGCCATGTAAGTGTAAAATTTGATGAGTTTTAGTACATTTATAGATTTTCAACAGTGTTCCTGCTACTTACAGGCATCAGATTTAATCTCTCTTCAACTCTGACAGGTCAATTTTTAGATGGCTTTTTGGAATTAGAATCTATATTCCGTAAAATGTGGCCATGTAAGTGTAAAATTTGATGAGTTTTAGTACATTTATAGATTTTCAACATCACCAAAAGTACTTCTATAAATCAACAAAGTTCCATTGTGCTTATTTGTAGTCAATCACTACTCCCAACCTCAGAACCAGCCTGCCACTGGTTTGCTTCCTGTCTCTATAATTTTGCCTTTTCTAAAGAACTTTTATATCAACTTAAATTGTATATAAATTTTAGAAATTCCTTAGAGTGAAGTCACACAGTATGAAGTGTTTTGTGTCTGACTTATTTCACTTCCAAGAGATACATTTTATTATTCTGTTTTATGGGTTGGTAAACTGAGGCAAATGGAAGTCAACCAAAGTTTGCCTAGTTAATAGATGGGAGAGCTATACCTAGTTGACTCCAAGCCCTCTTCTATTAACTCTTTCTTCCTTTTGAATTAGGCATATCTCTAACAGCCTATTTTGTTGATCTCAGAAATTTTTCTAGACTTTAGTTATCTTTCCATTTCTCTTTTAGATCTGTGCTACTTTTTGCTTGTCTTTGATTATGGGTGTTTCTTTTTATCTTTGTTAATTAACAAATGAAGTTTGTGAATTCATTTTCTTATATGATCTGAGGTGGCATATTCTTTACAGTAAACTCTTCAGAGAACTCATGCAACTACCTGATCTTTTTAGAAATTTACTGGTTTTATTGTCAGATTTTATTTTTTAGGCTTGCTGCCCCTTTAGCATCTTTAGATAGCTCCATTTAGATACTTTGATTGGAAATATTAAAGCCTAATGTTTCTAAGAACTTTTGAAGCCCACTGTCTTAAAGTCTGTTTCACGTAACAGAGCTATTTCTAACCGTGCCCCTTATTGGCTCTTGTGAACTCGAAGATGCCTTGGTCAGTTCCACATGCTCAGCTGGTGGTGGTTCTTTGCTCAGAAATGATCTCAACATGCTAGTTTCCCTTATTACTTATTTCCCATCAGAAAAAGAAGCTAATAATATCACATGCTCTGTTCAGTTGATTTCCAGTGTACGAACCTTTCATCTTAAGGAGCTTTCATGCCAGAGATTGCAACCTCTTAAAACTGAATAGCCACTGTCATGTACTTTCAGAAGTAGCATTTTATTCCCTTCACTGAAAAGATCCAAGGTTTAAGCTAGTACTTCACAGATGGACTGGTAGATACCATGTATACTTGAGTCACTCTGGATCAGAAGTAACTGCAGCAGCCAAAATTACATGCATTAGTGGCCCATTGGACCATGAAGCTGTGGGAAAATGAGGACGGAGGGAATAACCTGAAACTTTCATCAGTCTATCCTCAAACACAGTGATGACCTAGAGGTTTTGAGCATCACAAACCCATCCTTGCCTATTTATATTTGACTTCTTCTGTTTTACTTCCAGCTAAATATCAAGAAATATCTCCTGGTATCTGTGCCTCTGTGGATAAAATATGTCTCTGATGAACAGATCCTGGCTTTTGTTGAAAACTTAATGGTGGCAGTTTTTAAAGCAGCTTCCCCACTTTGCAATCCTGAGTTATGCCCAAGTGCCTTACAGGGTCTGAGCCAGGCCATGAAACTGCCCAGCCCTGCCTATCACCTCTGGAGTCTGCTCTGTGAAGCTACTGGGAAAATTTTTTACCTTCTGCCAAATAAGATTCGGGTGAGGAACAAAAATATTTACATTCCTGACAATTTATGTTTGGGATTTTTTAAAGTCTTTTGGCAAAGTGGGGAGGTGTATGTTTTAAGAATGTGGGTGGGAAGGCTAGCAAGAAATAACCACATTCTTCACTAGGAGTGTGTTTGCTTCCAAGATCTAAATTGAGGTTGAATATTTAGAACTGAAGTTTTCAGCAAGCTCAGAAGCATGTTAACCAGTGCTACACCAGGAAATTTGCTGTTAGGTCTTTTTACCAAATGCCTGCAGAAGGTGAGCAAGCTCAGAAATCTTTACACCTTATACGTGGAGAATCCTTGGGCATAGTGTCCAATATTTATACCATATGCCTTAATATTAGCCCTTCCCCTCCCCCAACAAACCTCTGAAATGTAGTTTTACAAAGAGGCTAAAAATTCATTTGGAATGACAGAATTCTGATAAGAATAAAAAAGTACAGCCAAATACACAAAGTAATAGGAAAGATGTTTTTAAAATGACAAAAATTGGCCGTATGTTTTGGTTTGGTTAAAATTAAAATTTCATCAGCTGCTGTTCCTGGGGATAAGCAAATCTAGTAATTTGTCAGAACATTAAGAATAGACTTGTTTTGTGTTGTATTTTAACATGCTTGGGTTTTTTCTTTACCAGAGAAATGATCTAGAGCTGTATATTAGTGTAGCAAAATGCTTATCAGAAATGACAGATGATGACATCAATCGGGTCGCTCAGATTACTAAGGTAATAACATATCTATCTATATTTTTGTCATTATTGAAATGGAAATTACAATTGAAGAGTTGATTATAGAGTCCTTTTGGCCAAAGCTGGTTTTACTTTGTATTAGTTACTGGTTAATTTCAGGAAGCTATCTTTCTGTTTCACTGTGGGGTCTAGTGTTGAGCGTACTAGTATGGTTGGTGCTTCGTAAATGTGGTATGGATGGATGAATAACTTTTTAAGAGAACACTTTTTCAAGAACATTTTTGTGTCGTCTATGGGCAAGAAAATAAATACAGGGCAGCCTCTTCAGTACAATATCAACGAGAGTGGGAATGTTCTGACCAAAGAACTTTCTGGTGAATGGAAGGCATAAATAAATAGTTCTGTTCTCACATTTATTTCCTTTCTTCTGATATTATCCTTTTGGAGTGAAGAAGGGTGGTTGATTGAAAAACAAGCATGATTAGCCCTGACACAGGATAATTTATAAGTACCCCCAACATCCATGCTCAGTCAAGTGATGAATGAGCAAAAAGTAGCATGTCAATAAAGTTGCCAGATATAGCAAATAGAATACAAGATGTTTTGTTAAATTTGAGTTGCAGATAAACAATAATTTTGTAGTGTATGTACATCTCAAATGACATACTTATTTGATGGCAACCTTGCATACCAATTAATACCATAGGTTTAGAGAACCGTGAGATCTCCCCCCCCCCCCCCCCCACACTGGTGGGAACTGGAGGTGAAATGGTGTGGAAAGTATTTATGATCTCTGCATTCTGCAGACAAGGAAATGAAGACCCAGAGAGGTGACATGAGCAGGGCTGCAATGTGATTGTCATGGGTCCTGGGCACTTTTGCCTTCATAGACTCCTTTCTCCAGAAAAGCGTGGCATCTCAAATATCTTGTCATTTATTTCACTTTAGGGCAGGTTTGCCTATTCAATTGTATCCTTAAATTTCTGCATCATATGTATATATGGTTCTCAAAGTGTGGTTTCTGGACCAGTGGCAGCAGCATTGCCTGAGAAGTAATTAGAACTTTGAATTCTCATGTCCCATTCCAAGCATATTGCATCAGAAACTCTGGAGGTGGAGGTCAGGAGACTGTATTTTAACAGTCTCTCCAGGTGATTTTGGTGTGTCTAAGGTTTGAGAACCACTATTACGGAGTTATTTGGAGTATCCATATTTTGGAAATTAGCTCATTTTAAGTAAAGAGAAGCAATATGAAGAAATTATTAAAGAGGATGGACTCTGGAACCTCAGTGCTCCTGTTTGAAATCCAGCTCTGCAATTTACTAGCAATAAATGAAACTTGTTTAAGTTTCATAACCTCTTTCTGCCTCAGTTTCATTATCTATAAGAGGGAGAGAATAGCACCTACCTCTTAGGGTTATTTTGAGAGTTAAATGACTTAATCTATGTTGAGTGCTTGGAACAGTGTCTGGCCCAAGGTGAAGACTCAGTGACTACTTACCATAATTATTACATTCATATAACTAATTATATCTTCTTACATTCATATAGTATAGTTGGAAATAAAGCATGTAATTTACTTCATGGTTCCTAGAGCTAAAGTTTGCTTGTTACTCACTCGGGTTCCTAAAGTACCATTCAGAACATTGTCACTGGAACATACTAAGTAATGTTCTGATGTTTCCAAACGAGTTAGTTTGCTCCACTAGATCAGGTTGTGTTGTATTCTTTCCCACTCTCCCCACCCTGGGTGGCTGGCCGGTACAGGGATCAAACCCTGGACCTTGGTTAGAGTACTGTGCTCTAACCAAGTGAGCTAGAGTTAAGAATAAGATAGTGGTGAAGAGCACCGACTCCTGGGGTTCCAATTCTTATTCTGCCGCTCTAACTGTGTGACATTAAACAAGTTACTTAGCTTCTGTGTCTGTTTCCTCACCTGTAAAGGAGGGATAATAATAGTAATCTACTGCAGAGGTTTATGTGAGAGGATTAAATAGTCAATAAAGCCGTTCTCAAATATTTTTGTCTCAAGAACACTTTAGTTTCTTAAAAATTATTGAGGACCCGAGGAGTTTTTATTTATATGGGTCATATCTGTTGACATTTACCTTATTAGAAATTAAAATGAGGAAAATTTTTAAGTATTCGCTTAAAAGTAATAATAATAAAAAACCCACTACTTCTTAAAAAGAATAAAAATAAAATTTTACAAAGCACAAAAAATTGGCAAGAAAAGTGGCATTGTTTTACATTTTTGCAAATCTCATTAATGTCTGGCTTATAGAAGGCAGCTGGATTCTCATGGCTGCTGCTTTATTCAAACTATTTGATATTGTTTTGGTGAAGTATGGAAGAAATTCAAGCCTCATGCAGATATATAGGTGGAAAGGGGAAAAGTGTGTTAATAGTCTTCTCAGATAATTACTGATATCCTTCTGTTATATTGCACCAAAACCCAACAGCTGGTAGTTTCTTAAAGGTTAATTGCAATGTGGAGTCCAAAGCCATGTCATTGAAATTTACATACTTTGTTATGTTAAAATCCATTGGTCTGTCTTGCACTTTGGGTCTTTTACCCATGCATGACTTTGTAATACCATGTATTGGTCATTTGGAAAATAGTGGTTCACTGAATTTTTGAGGATCTTCCAAATGTTGATACATTTCTTTATACAATATCAAGACATTATATTGTTAATATCACCAACAATCTCATTAGAAAAGCCTTTTACATATTGGGAGGCTGCTAAGCTCATAGTAGCAGATACAAATTTTCTACAAATATAATTTTCTCTTGAAAGATCAGATTTTATCATTGGCAACAAATACTGTCAGGTATTTTACTTGAAGTAACAATCTTACTTCTTTAAATTTTAAGAAAATAATATGTCAAACAACCAGTTCGAATAACCATAGTTTGTCCATCAATCATTTTTTCAAGTAAATGGTATTCCATGAAAACAGTGGCTATTTCAGCTCACAACTCAATCTTACAAATATTTTTCCTTGAGACAACCATCATATATGGGTTTACAGGAGAAGAGTCTTTTATGCATATTCCCAGTTTGTCACACAGAATATTAAAAAGTTGTGTACTCAGGGCCAAGTTTTAAGGAAATAATCATTTTTGTTTACAAGGATATTTTAAGTGAAAATGGCTTTTTGAAAAATTACAAGTGGCAATGAAAAATACAGTGCATACTGGTACAATTCAGTACTATTATAAAAATAGTTTGACCTCACAGAATGTCTATAAGGGTCTTGGGAACCCCCAGAGGTCTGTGTACCACACTTTGAAAACTGCTGAATTAATACGTGTTAAGTGCTTGGAATGGTGCCTGGCACATGAGTACTGTATTTATTAGTTATCATTTTATTATTATTATTTGTGTATTCTTACTAAACTTCATTACCAACTAACCTCTAAACACATTTATGGTTTTAAGGAAGAAACAGGAGGTGACATTGCAACCCTCTATTGTATGTACATTTTAATAGAGCACATAGGCAGATAGATCACATGCTGCAGAAAATGAACAGTTTTAGCATTTGGAATAATAACATCAAACTCACCCTTTCTATTTTGCCCTTGCCCTAAGGTTCTATAGCTACTTCAGTTAATTTAACAGTAACTGAACAATTTGCTTTTTTGCAGAGCAACATAGAAAAGGCCGCCTTTGTCAAACTGTACTTAGTCTCTCAAGGACGATTCTCCTTGATGAGCTTGATTGATATGCTCAGTGTTGCTGTGCAGCACCATGAAAAAGAGACTCTTGCCTGGACAATTCTGCACAGCTTATACCAGGCACGGATTGTAAGCCATGCCAACACAGGTGAGGCCAGTTTGGGGGGAACATCAGGAACAAGAAATCTGCCTGCCATCCCTTTTAAGTTGCACTTTGTTTTCTCAACTTCAAAACTAGTTTAATGCTTTCTTAACATGGGTTAGGATTCTTACTACAAATGAGGAGTGCCTTGGATGGAAATGAGTTGTTGGAGCTCATAACATCCACTTTTTGGAGATGAGAATGGATTCTTTTGAGGGTTTTTATGTTGTTTTTGGCCCTCTAAATCCTTAAGAATACAAACAAGTGTGCCAGGTAGCTTCTGCCTGTTTAACTTCAGTTTTCTTTTCTTTTTTTTTTCCTTTTTTTGTCTTTTTTCATGACTGGCAATGGATCGCAACCCTCAGTGTCGCACCCGTACCGGACCGCGACCGGCAACGGGATCGCAACCATCGGCGTTGCACCCGCACCTCGCTCAGCCAGTGAGCGGCCGGTCTGTACGTGGGATCCGAACCCTCGGCGGGAGCGCCGTCACGCTCCCAAGCGGCGCACTGTAGCAGTGCGCCACCGGGCCAGCCCTTAACTTCAGTTTTCTAAACGCACAAAATTTCAATTGATTCTGCCTGACGATTTCATGAAAATGGCTTTTGGATGGTCATTTTACAAACAGTTAATTAAAAACAACAAATTTAACTAACAAAAAATTAAATAATTTTTCTATAGAAGAACTTCTTAGGGGTGAGGATTCTAAAATCTGACCACCCTATTTACATTTTCAAGCCTGAAGCTCTGCTAATTAATCATGTGGTGGAACTTTTAGGCCATTTTAGACTCTATACTGAAATAATCATTGGAAAAGGGAGCTCCCTCATTGCTCCTGCCATCTGTTTGGTCATATGTTCATAATTTCTCTAGACTACCTTCAGGTTCTGAATGGCACCTGGCTTAAGCAGGTCAAATGTGGCTGGAAAGCCCTTAGTTACTTGTGTTTATGTGCCCTATCTCCCCATTGATCTCTTGTATCTTTTTAATTTTAAATGAAAACTAACAAACATGATTGTAATACTCTACAAGGCTGTATAGGAAATTTTGATTCATTGTCCTCTTTGGCAATTGAGACAGTTCTCTCATATTGGCATTAGTGCCTGCCCACTGAAAAATGAATCTGTGATGAGAGAGTAGATTTTTTTACTCTAAACCAAAAGTGTGTTTGTCAGGAAGAAATCTAATAGGCGTTTCCAATTAAGCATGAAGATACATGCAATAGACCGAAACAAGTTTGATGTTGCCTTTGGTTCTAACTAGCCAGCTCTAAAATGTAGTTCCCATTTCCCTCTTAACAAAATTTTGAAAAATTTCCTTTGTAGTCTTCACTGTGCTGGGAATCCTCACTTTTAAAAAATAAAAAGGAAAAAATTTAATATATTTGCTGATGTTTGTTTGCCAGTTACCCTATAATGGCCAGTTTTAATTTTTCTTTTCATATCTTTGGTTTTATATCTTTTTATATCTTTGGTAGGTTTTCTCTGTGATTTTTGGCACAAATTGGGAACACTTAAACAAAGGAGGACTGTAAAAACAACTAGTTATCCAAGATTCAACATGACTGGTTAGTTGGCCTGCCAGATTTCTCTTGATATGTTTAATGTTGAGAGAAAAACTCCAGTAAATGCATTTCATTGCTAGTGTGCAGGGAGGTCTGCAGAATAGATTAGCTTTTAAAAACGAAGGACAAAATACAGTTGTGAATAGTATCTTTCACGGGCAATCACAAGTCTCAGGTATTGCAAGAGAACTTGAAACTGTTTGGTGGAATCCTTACCAGGTGTTCTACTTATGATGGTTATTGCTGATTTACATTTCAAAGGGAAATCATGTCCTAGTAAGAAAATGTCCTTTTTGTTTCAGGTGTGTTGAAGAGAATGGAGTGGCTCTTGGAACTGATGGGTTATATCAGAAATGTTGCTCACCAGTCAACATCTGTTCAGAATGTGGCTCTCGATGAGGTACGATGTAGAAGAGTAGTTTGCAGCTTCTTTGAAATAAAGAGCACAGATTCATTCTCCCAAAAGAGGAGTGTGTTGCTGCTTGCAGATTTTCTTTCCCTCCTTCATTTTATTTTTGAGAAACACTGTTAACGATTCTCTGATGGCACAAGGAAATGGGTATTCTCACCATGCTCTTGGAGACACTTGGGGCTGCCCTTTGAGAAATATTTTCAACGAAATATGTTCCTTGACAGGCAGAACACAAAGGACACTAGCCGGAGAGGGAACCCAAGGTTCTGTGGACTTGGGTTTGATCCCATAAAGAATGTGGCAGTACAGGGCTCTGGCCTCTGCACAAGTTAAGCATATGGCTAAAAAAAAAATGCCTGGTTTGAAGAGGTTTCTGAAGTATATGTGAATAATCTGTACGTGCCAGTGCTTATGTGCATGTGTACACATACTGAAGGGGAGTTTTCATCACACATGCAAAATGACTTATGACCCGCCCAAAGTAAAAACCACTAATAGTGAGTTTAAAAAGAAAAAGATTAATAAATTAATAATTAATAAATTATTAAAGATTAATAAAATAAGTTAATAAATATTAATAAAATGAAGACAGCTCTTTCCTACTCTCATTTTCTTGACTCAGCTGGCTGCTGTGCATTTTTTAGTAGAAGTTTTTCTATGGGCATGCTTCATGAGTATCCTGTTTATTGTGAGTAAAGTTTGTATAAGCTGGGATGTTCTTTGAAATTCCGCTCAGTTTTTTTTTTTTTTTTTTTGTTATGTCTTTTTGAAATTTTAAATTGTGAGATTAGGAAATTTAAGAGACTGAGACATACTTTTTGAACTTTTATTTGAATTAGCATAATCTCTCCTCTTTTTCTTGTGATTTCCTAAGTTTTTATTAACTTTCTCTGTTTTCTCACAAAAATCTTAAAACATTTAGATATACAGATAAGCAGAAAGAAGTATAATTTAAATCACAGTAGTCCAACAACTCAGAGGTGGCCCCCATTACCACCATTTCTGCAAGTGTCTAGTCTAAAATCTAACTCAATGGCTTCTAGACAGATTTTTAAAATGCATGAAGAGAGATTTGCTCAAAAATAGAATCAGACTATATGTAATTTTAAAAATCAGTTTTGGCCACCACAATAACCATTTCTCCATATCTCTCAATTTCTTAATCTCTTTGAAAAAGTCAAAACAGAAAAGTGTTTGGTTTTGGTGTGATTAGGAATTAAATAAATTATGTTTCTCCTGAAATGTTAGAGTAATAATAATGAAACTGCTGGATCTCTTTTATCACATAAAGGGACCTCAGAAACCTTCCAAAGCTCTAAAATGTCTCTTCATTAAGCATGGAAATTGAGTTTGCTGTTTAGTACCCCTTCTAGGAAAGGGTTGTAACAGGGGGGTTGGGTAAAGGGGAAGATGACATTGCATCATGGGGCTGTGTATGTTACTTTGAACTATTAAAACATATGGCCTAATGTTTTTTTCTATTTCCGTCATAGGCTTTGGACTTCTTGTTGCTGATATTTGCAGCCATAGTGGTTGCATGGGCAGACCATGCTGCCCCTCTCCTCCTTGGCCTCAGTGCCAGTTGGTTGCCATGGCATCAGGAGAATGGCCCAGCTGGGCCAGCATCAAGCTTCCTTGGCATGAGTCCAATGCACAGGGTCACTCTGCAGGAGGCTCTCACTCTTCTTCCCAGTAGCATGCTTCTTCTGCTGCAGAAAGAGCCATGGAAAGAACAGACCCAGAAGGTGCGGTTGGCAGCCACCTACTTAGCAAGGCAGGCAGCCATTTTCTTTTCAGCAGTTTCTGCTGGAATATTGAAATGGGAGTTAAGTGAAACTTGAATTACACCACAGGCTTTTGTACTCAGGGCCGAATCTCAGCCAGATGCAGAATTCAACAGATTGAGGCTAGCCCAGGCTCAGTGCACCTGCTGATTAAAAACAATGACAACAGGAACAGCTCTCTTACAGATGGGGATGGGTTGGAGAGATAAGGTCATGTTTTCATTCATTTGTCGAAGGCACATGTGTTCTTGACCTTGGGGAAGAAAGGATGACTGAGTCTCAGAGAGCTCAGAATCTCAAGTAAGGACAGACAAGAAGACAAATTCAAGATTGTGAGGTGGTATGATGAGTAGGTTACAGTGGTGATGAGAAAGGCGGGAAGATGATCAACAATTACTGGGGTGATCAGAGAACTCTTTCCAGGGGAAATGTATGTCTGGAACATCCATCTTCTTATAGCATATTTAGGGTTCTCCACAGCTCATTCCATCCCGCGGACATGCTCCAGTACCCATCATGCCTCTGGCCTCTGCTAGATGCCAAATGGGGGTTAGTAAAGGTCTGACACCATCACCCTTGCCCTTAGGAAAGTCCAAACTGTAGGAAACACCTTTGGTTTTTAATATTGAGGTTCCCCAGTCTACTCGCTGTTCTGCAGAGCTAGTGAAAACACTTTGCTTCCTGAACTTCTCATTACATGGCTCTGACCTATCTTTAATATAGTTGATTGGAAGACTGTTTTTTGAATCCCATTTAATCAAAATTGGATTTTTATGAGGTTGAAAACTTACAGCTAACTTTTTGTTGCTTATTCTTGAAATCTGAAACATTAATCTTTAAAAGCATTTCTGAACTGTGTATCCACTGAGTGTTTCAATTAAAATGACTTTTTCCTTTAACCTGATAATCATTAATATTGCCTCCCCAAATTTTGTGTTTTATGTTCCATTTTAAATCAAAATAAATTTAAATGTGACCTCGCCTTATGTTATTTCTGGACTGAGACACCATGTTCACTTTGGACTACAGTGTAGACATCTTGTATCGATTATGTGTTAGTGGTGCTTGATTTATTTACTTACCAGTAGGATATTATAAAATGAAATTGAGAAAAAGGAAATAAACAAAAAAAGTTTTTAATTAAAGCAGGGAATTAGGAATATTTTTTCTCCTTATTTTACTCTTTCTTCAACCCAGTTTCTATGTCTGAAGTTAAAATGCCTAGTACCTATCGCTCATGTATGTGTTTTTTAATGAGCCAAGATTGGCAACATCCAGTCATTGATGATATTTATCCTGTATCTAATTTAAAAACAATTTTGGCTGCATCCTGGGAGGTCAGTCAAACTCATGAGTACTATGAGCTTCTATTCTACGTCATTTGCAGGATTTATTCACAATTAACATGCTTGGCTTTGTCTAGTAAATTATTTTATGCCCTTTCTCTTGCATTTCAACTTCCTGTTTCATATTCATTTGGGCACAAACTGTTTTCTTCTACAGAAACATATTTTGTTTCAAAAACGGGGCTTATACCAGATGTGTTCCCTATTTACTTCCCAGCCTAGGAGACTAGGTCAGGGTGTACATGGAACCAAGTGGGAGGCTGCTTGATGCAAAGAAAGAGCATGGGTCTTTGAAGCCAGGGCTGGGTTCAAATCTTGACTTTGCTATTCATTAGGAGTAGACTTGGACAAAGTTCTGAAACTCTCTGGGTCTCAGAATGGTGAGAGCTAATGTTCATGGCATACAGGAGGCCTCTGGGTCCATGTCTGTCTCACTTCTAAAATATGTACCAGGTCTCAGCAGGGGAAAGAGGTTTGACTTTTGCTAGTCATTAGAATAAATGGGAGCTATGTCCAACCTTACCATATCTAGTGCTTGGCCCCTGTCTCTTGTCTACTCCCCAGCCCAGACAGGTATTGCCTAAAGACTGTTATACTAATACTTATGTGTCAGGCCTAAGGGACTGACTGATCTCTTGCTGAGAGTGAAATTCTCTTCACTGACACTGTTCTTCATTTTTACCCTAGTTCATTGACTGGCTATTCAGCATCATGGAAAGCCCCAAAGAAGCCCTCTCAGCAAAATCCAGGGACCTTTTAAAAGGTATTACTTCCATGCTTTATGCTCAATGTAGGTAAAAAATCATCCATTGTTGCCTGTGATGCAGAATTGTATTCTAGTGTATATTGGTTTCTGAAAGGGCTCATCTTGGTTTAGCTTAGAGAAGTAATCTGGATCTATCAGCAATGTGGCATTTTGAACCAGCAAGTGGATTAAAAAAGAGTTATAGTAGCTTTACATTTAACTTTTATTTGAGTAGTTTAAAAATGTTTTATTATAATAGTAAAATATGATTTTAATTAAAATTTGGAAAATTCAGGAAAGTAAAAAAAAAAAAAAAAAAGAAAAAAGCAGCAAAGAGAAATCCAGTGTCCCATTGCCCAATAACAATTTTGATATTTTTCTTAAGTTTTTGACCCTGTCTGTTTGAATATTGTTTTAATATATTTATAATTATATATATTTAAGAAAAAAATACACACAGACAATTTAATACTACCTTTTTAATTTCAAAGTTATTTTTAAAGCATTTAAACCTGTTTTTATACTGCCTTCATAATTGGTATTTTTTTTTTTTTTTGTCCTTTTTGAGACTGGCCACACCACGCTCAGCCAGTGAGCGCTGTGAGCACACTGGTCATCCCTATATAGGATCCTAACCCACGGCGGGAGCGCTGCTGCCCTCCCAGCACCACACTCTCCCGAGTGCGCCATGGGCTCAGCCCCATAATTAGTATTTTTAATGGCTGCATAGTATTTTGCCAAGGGAACTAGGCATTTCCCTAACCCACAGCGGGAGCGCTGCTGCCCTCCCAGCGCCACACTCTCCCGAGTGCGCCATGGGCTCGGCCCCATAATTAGTATTTTTAATGGCTGCATAGTATTTTGCCAAGGGAACTAGGCATTTCCCATACTTTCAGGCATTAAGATGGTTTTTGTGTCTTTTATAATTCTCTACTGACTTTGTTAAACTGTGCATGTAGGGTCCACAAACATGGAAGAGCTTTCTGTGAAAATCATGTAGCTTTTTTTACTCAAATCTGAGAAGTCATTTGGGCATTGGCCCTGTGCTCTGAGACAGCTTGTATTTGTCATCCATGTCTTAGGACTTGGGGGTCTGGAGTCCTCCAGTGGCTGTGGCCATCATGCTGTAAAATACTTCACTGAAAGTCTCAGCTTCAGAATGATGCCTATTGGCCTATTCTGTGATAATTTATCTGGTCAGGCTGGAGTAATTTATCTGGTCAGGCTGGAGTCAAGTATGACCTATATTTTACTTTATTGGTTGCCAAACAAGAAATAATTCATTGGTTCTGGGCCTTTTCCCTATCCCCAAAGTGAGTGGGAAGCATGTGTATATTACAATAGTCCCCCCACATGATTCTGATAAACCACAGAACTTCATTGAGAATCAGGGCATATCTTAACTTAATCAGTCCCTAGAAACTTGCTGCTAGGATTTCCTCTATTCATTTTCCTTAGGGAGTTTGGACTAATTTTTAATGGCCATGGGTCCATAATACCATTGGTTACTCAAAATATATACTGTCTTAGGTTATGAAGATAACAGCTAGTACTGATGAGGAAAACAGTCATTTGGGTCAATGAAGCATGTGTTCACTTGATTATATAGTCATGGGTTTATTAGAATCACACACAATAATTGCATAATTCTGGCTTACCTACATTACTCCACATTATTATACTTTAAATAACATCTCAATATGTTTATATTAATATTCTAAAATAAGATATATAATAAGTTACCAAAAGAGATTACACAGAATTTCCTTACTTTAAATGGATCCCTGAGGGACCCACGACAGATTAGAAAAAGTGTAGACTTGTGGTTACATGTTGAAATACAGTTTAGTATAGTCATACTTGCTCCATTGAGCACATGAACCTAATTTTATTGTAGGGTCAGGGATTTCATTTTTGTTTTTTAGCTTTAATTAAACATTTAATGGAAATATCATATTTATGTGGAAAAGACTACAAATCTTAAGTAGATTTTTACAAAGGGAACATACTCACGTAATCAGCACCCATATCAAGAAAAAGAACATCACCAGCATCCCAGAAGTCAGTTTTCATTTTAATTCTGCAAACTTTCCTATTAACTCATTGCAGGTTAACTTTTTCAAGAAACTTTCCCCCCAACCTTTATAAGTGGTTTTCTGCCATAAAAATTCTACCAAAGGCTTAATGGGAATTCTTAGTCTTGAAGATTAGCCAAGTGAGAAAAAAACAAATTCTGTTCTGACACCTTTTTGATCAAAATGACCTTTTCAAATGCAGCTCCACCAAATTCAACAGTGCACTTTATTTTTTATCCCCTCAGCCACCCTTCTGTCCTTGAGAGTTCTCCCGGAGTTTAAGAAGAAAGCCGTATGGACCAGAGCATATGGTTGGTGAACACTTTTGCAGTAGCCAGAACCATCCTCAACTGGATGAAGAAAACCATAGAAATGAAAGAAGTTTCTCAGAACTCATGTCTGGAATTGCTGAGATATGATACAGAGTGTTAAGGTCATGAAAATGTGGCCACAGACAGGTTGACACATGCATGCCATGAAAGAGGTACATTGCTGTGGTACTCAAGCCAGATGAGACTGAAACAGGAACTTGAATTTTCTTTGTTTGGCTAGAGTTTGACATGAAGATTTTCTTTGTGAAATTTGACTATATCATCTCCTCTCCCCTAAATTCTAGTAAAATAATCTTGTGAATTTGGGGCATGTGACTTTTGTTTTAGGGTATCGGGGACTTTTATTTGTTTTAAGGTATGGAGGAAGGTTTTTCCAGTAAAACCAAATCATAGTGGTGATAGTGACATTATGATGTATTTTCCATGAAGTCTCTAAGAGGATATTCATTAACTCAATGAGTTAGACAAATATTCTTATTGACAAATCTCTCTTGGAGCTGCTATATACATTTAAGTAATAAGCATCATACTGAATATTAGCTAACTTAGATTCATAAGTGGTGGCTATAATTTCCATCTGCTTTGTTCTCTTGAATGCAAGTGAAAGTTACCCAATTCAAAATAGCTTCAGCCCAAAAAGGAGGATATTAGTTCACGGACCAAGAAGTTTAAGAGTAGATCTGGTCAGGCACAACTGCATCCAGTGAATCAAATGGTAGCATCAGACTTTGTGCCTCTTGGGATCACTCCACGTGGTTGGCAGGATGGCTGCCAGTAACCTCAAAGGGAAGGAGAGGTGTTTTTGCCCACAGGTAGGGCAGAAGCAACATGGGGAGGTCTCTGGTTCAGTTTGGGTTACATGTGAGTTTCTGAACAGTTAGCCGGGCCCTGGGAAATGGGGTACTCTAACTGATCAGTCTTGGGTCCTATGCCCACTCCTAAGTGCCTGGACACAGGGGCAGTGGCAGCCCTACCCTAACCATCTGAACTGGGTTCCCCAGAGAAGAAAGATGTTGGGATGTTGGGATGTTGGGCAGTCAAAAAATGAAAAATATCTCCTCTAATGCTCAATCTTTTCTATAAGTACAAATCTCTTTCTTAATCAGGGTGACTAGTGGCCTAAAGTAAATGAAGGTTGTGGCAATATTCTCTAGGGTTACATTTTACTCAAAGGCTTGAGACTCAGCCAGCATTTTAATTTTGATCTGCTTGCTAATTATCCCTTCTTTGCACAGCCATTAATCAGGGCTCTGTCTTTAGCCAATCATATAAATGTTCTGATATATACTATGGGATTTGGGAAGAAAAACTATGCCACTGAAATAATGTACCTTTGTGTCTGTCATGCCATAGCACAGTGCCTGGTGCTTCACAAGTACCATGGAACTTCTAGTATTCCCGTGTGGCTTGTACCTTTATGTTGTCACCAAGTGTACCTGCCACTTAGGTTAAAAATAGCCTACTAGTTTTGTTTTCCAAATATATGACTTTCTTAGAGATTGGGCTAGAGGTAAATGAATTTGAAGGAAGCAAGAAATTTATACTAGAAGCCAGCTTCCCTCTCCTTCCTACACTTTCTTATACTTCCTACCAATTAGAGGTTGAAATTCATCTAACATTTACTATTAGGTGTCAGACTGTAAGTACGCTAGAGCTTTTATTATCTTATTTAACTCTTGCAACAATACTGTGAGGAGGCATTATATTCTATTTTACATCAAGTAAACACATCTAGTAAGTGGCAGAGCTTTGCCTAGAACCAAGGTCCTAGAACCTCACATCCAGTGCTCTTTCTATCACATTAGGCTCATCAGCTCCCACTTTAAGATAAAAACTCCCACCAAGGATTAAACCTCATTCATGCTTAATACTGATTGCTGAAATTGGATAAAAGAAACAACCCTGACTCATTAAGAGGCCTCTGGAATTGAAAAGTTTAGGAGTTGTAGTGTAAATGAGTATGTCTTCATGGGTTGAAGGACCAACTTGCAAACGCTGATGGCAATAAAGAGTAGTGAAGAAGTGGGCACTGAAGAAGTACACTGCATTCTTTTCTTTTGAATCAGCAGCCAGACATTGCTAATGCCCAAGTAAAGGGATGAAGTATCAGCCTAGTCTTTTTAAATTCAACCCAGTTTCTTCTCATTCAAAGCTTGTCTCTGCTCCTACCCCTGACAAGAGAACAGAAGGGTACAAAAGGGAGGAAATCAGATATATCTTTATTCTTTCTTCTCTAGTTCCCTCTTTTTATTTTGAGCAGCCTTGAGTATAAGACATGTAGAATAAGACTCCTATTCATGGGAACTTATAAAGATTCTAAATTCAAAACTCTAAGGATACTCGAATCTAAACATTCTAAAATATAGGTCACTGGAATAAAAAGACCCTTTTTCTTGGTTACCTGTATGACCTCAGGTAAGAATTAAGTTATTCCCTTAGGATATTTCAGTTGTGCAGATATCAGAAGTCTGCTTTTTTAGACCAGATGTTCCTAAGTATATACAAAAGGAAAAGTTTCTTTACAAGTCATCTTCTGTTAGTTTTTGAAAACACAAGTTGCCAAGACAAATAGCATGCTGGGATATACTAACAAATTAATGTGTGGGGTTAAAGCCCTGTTATGTCTCGCTGAAGTATCCAAACACTCTAACTCTTGATTTGAAAAGTATACATTTGGAACAGATGTTGGAATCTATGCAAGTGCCTAAAATCTTTGTGTTTTATTTGTAATGTATTGGCTCCATGGTAACCAAAAGGCTGTTAATAACCTTCTTTGAAGTTAATTGCCAGAAGTTAACTTCTCTAAAATGATTTTAACCAAAAATAATGGTATTATAATTATATAAGAAGTTAGACTTAGTTAGGGATTCAATTACTATCTTCAAGTAACTTAGTCACTTTGAAAATAAGCAGCAGTTTTAGGGCTTTGGTAAACATTTTAGTAAACTGCTCTTTTAGAAGAGAAATCAGATCATTTGGTAGAGGATGGAGCCTTCATTAAAGTCATTAGAGCTGGCAGTTAGGTCCCTGTTTGGTCAGTTTGTATCTCTGACTTCAACCAGCCTATTCATAGGAACCACTTCAAATGGAACCAGAGGACACAGTGTGGCTGGAACAATTCACATCCTTCATCACTCTTGTGGAAAGAACTCACAGTAATTTTTCTTAAATTTAGAAGATAAGCAACTTCAAAAGCAAAATAAAATGTAGCTTTTTAAAAGGATAATTTTAATTATTTTTAAATTTCAAATATATTTATAAAGATACAAAGTATCTTTATTAATACTCAATTGTTTCTTTTCAAATGTTTTATTTAGTAGAAATGATACCCATTTTTTTAAAATTACATTTTTATTACCTGGTTCTTATATCACAATATATTCAATACCCTTTTTATATAGTTACTGGATAAGATCTCTACAATTCTTTCCTCCCAAATTGAAGGATACATTGATGGTGAACAAATTATTCTTAGGCAATTCTTCACACATTCTTTAGATCTTCAAGGAAAACATTTTTCAAAACTATATGTGATGACATATGTGACTTTCATTGTAGTAGCTAGTAATAATTCAGTAATAAATAATCCAAAATACCACTAGTTCTTAATTGTTTTGCCTCCCTTTAAAGTATTTATTGTATTTTTTGTACCTTTTGTCTCCCTATAAGGTATGTATGTGTCCTGATTTTTAAAATTAAAAAGTAGTATAGTATGGGGCATTATTTGTGTATTTTGTTTTCATTAGGGTCCCCTTTTGGGCATCAAAGCCCAAATAACCTTATGTGATATTGCTATGCACTGAATGTTTGTACCCCCCTCCCCCCAAATTAATATGTTGAAGACCTAATCCCCAGTATGATAGTATTTGGAGGTGGGGCCTTTGGAAAGTAATTAAGTCATGAAAGTGGAGACCTCACAAATGGGATTAATGCCCTTACAATAACAGACATAGAAGAGATTACATTTCTCTTCACCATGTAAGGATACAGCAAGAAGGCATCTATCTACAAACCACAAAGAAGAATCAGCCAGCACCTTGGAACCTCACCAGGAGCTGAATTGGCTGGTACCTCGGTCTTGGACTTCTCAGCCTCCAGAACTGTGAGAAATATATTTCTGTTTTCTAAGCCACCAAGTTTATGGTATTTTGTTATAGAAGTCCAAGCTAAGATAGCAGTTGGGACCAAGAAGTGAAGTGCTTATATAACCAATACATAAAAATGTGGGAGCAGCTTTGAAATTAAGTAATGGTTAGAAGCTAGAAGAATTTTGAGGTTCATGCTAGAAAAACAACAATATTGTCATGAAGGGATTGATGAAGGCAGAAGAAGAGAAGCTGGAAAGAAAGCCTCCATCTTCTTAGCATAAACAATCATGAACAGAATGGATGGTAAAGACCATTCTGATGAGGTCTCAGATGGAAATGAGGAAATTTTATTTTAAACTGAAGGAAAGGTCATTTTGTTATAAAGTGGCAGTGATCTTGGCTGAATTGTGTTCATGTTCTAGTGTTTTGTGGAAGGTGAAACTTGTGAGCAATGAAATTGGATATTTAGCTGAGGAGATTTCTAAGCAAAGTATTGAAGGAGTAATTTGGTTCCTCATGACTGCTTAGAGTAAAATGTGAGAAAAAAGAAATAAATCAAAGACAGAATTGTTAACCAAAAAGGAAGCAGAACTTAAAAGTTTGGAAAATTCTCAGCCTGTCCACATTACAAAAAATGAGAAAATGTGTTCGCACTAAGTTTGTGGGTGGACTGACCATTCAACAAGGAGATTCGTGTGTGATTAATGTGTGTGTGTGAACCACAGACCTTATCAGCCATCCCAGCAGGAACACTGCTAGGTTGAACTGAAGGGATGGAGAAGGGTCAGAATGAAGGAAGGCTGTTAGACTTCTTGGATTTTACAGGACAGGGCCACAGAGCTATTCAGCTGTGAGTGTACACAATTCTTCAAGACAAGGGAAGAATGACTCCGAAGATGATTCATAGTTCAGGGCTAACCCCTTAGTTTTAAAAGGGGCAGCCATTGCCTTGGTTTCAACAAGGCCAGACAGACTCTACATAGAGCCATGGGGGCAGGACAGTCTGAAGTTGGGGTGCTTGTCCTTCCCCAGCAGAGTCCTGGGGGCAAGACCTCTGCCCCAGTGGGTCCTGAAGACAGAGAATCAAACCAAAGAGGATTATTCCTGAGCCTTAAGATCTCATGGGAGTTTGCCTCACTAGGTTTTGGACTTGTTGGGGATCCATTACCCCTTCCTTCTGTCATTTCTCCCTTTTGGAATGGGAATGTCTCCCCTGTGCCTGTTTTACCACTGTATTTATGAAGCTGATAAATTGTTTGGTTTCACAAGTTCATAGCTGGAAGGGAATTTTGCCTCAGCATGAATTGTACCTTACCCACATCTGATTTAGATGATATTTAGATAAGACTTTAGACTTCAGAGTTGATGTGGGAATGAGTTAAGACTTTTGAGGCTGTTGGGATGGAATGAATGTATTTTACATGTGACAAGGACATGAATTTTGAGGGGCTAGGTGCAGAATGCTACAGAGGGAATCTTTATGTTTCCCCAATGTGACTATATTTGGAGGTGGGGCCTCTGGGAAGTAATTAGGTCATGAGGGGGGAGCCCTCATGAATGGGATTAGTACTCTTGTAAGAAGAGACATGAAAGAATTGGTCTCTCTGTCATCTGAGGATACAGCAAGAAGGCATCCATCTGCAAATCAGGAAGAGGGCCCTCTCCAGGAACTGAATCAACTGACACCTTGATCTTGGACTTCCCAGCCTCCAGAACTATTAGAAATAAGTTTGTTGTTTAAGCCACCCAGTTTATGGTGTTTTGTTATAGCAGTCCACGTTCAGACATAAGGCTTGGAAAGATGTTTAATTTTTTAAATGTATCTAATGTTTAAGGAGGGTATTGAATTATTAGCTTTGGGGACAGAAAATGACACTATCTGTAAAATATGTTATTCTAGACAACTGCAGAGCATATTTTACATTGGTCCCCTCCTATGTATCTAATGCTATTTGAGAACTCAGAAATGAAAAAGAATACATGTAATTTAGATCATCAAGTTTGATTTCTCAATTTAATTAAATCTACTCCAGTTAATCTATTTCTCATTAACCTTACAGGAAAATAATCAGCCATTACACAATATAAATGTAACTTGTTTAAAATCCATAGCTTTGGTGAAACAGTGTATGCAAAGTATATGTTCTGAAAATACAGTGTGTGAGGAATATAAACTGTGATGATATGTCTAGAGTTTGGGGACCTGTGCAATTATTTCGTGTCGTGGATTTTTGTCAAATACTAGGTATTTTTCCACCAGCATACTTCCTGTTTTGTATTTATTGCAGCTGAATCCACCCGCCTTTTTGCATGCCACATCAGAATGCTGTGCTTTACATTTTCTTCTTTTTAATGGGAAAGACTCTGAGGACATCTCTTCTTTCTGAGTAAAGATGACTGTACGTAAAATACATACCTAACATGGAGAAGGAAGTGGCAAAAGTAAGTAAGGTTGATTAACCATCTCTCTGGGAAGAATGATAATTTTAAAATACACTTAGACTGCTACCTGAATTCTGGGTACAATGCACTTGCAAGGGAGACTCAAAGAAGAAATGCTTAAAGAAAGTGTTCAGATTTTTATGCAGAAAGGTAAATAAATCAAACTCTTCCGTCCAATTTTTTTAATGCAAGGAATTTTTTTTTTCTGTTTCTTTAGGGTAGCTCTTTCCACCCCCTCTAAAATTTCACATTTGTCTTTTCTCTACATGCATTGTTCTTATTTTGATACTATTACCTTCTAGAGATAATCATTATCTTGGAGATTTGTGAATATTAGAGCTGGTGAAGCTGAAATTTAATAATGGAAGTCTTTTTCCCAATTTCCTGGAAAAGAATTAAGTTAATTGATCAAATTTTTTCAGCTCTAAGTTTTTATTGCATAAATATTTGTTGAGTCATTTTATTTTGTTTTCTTTTGTTTTGTTGGCATCCCTGGATGGGCTTGAATTTGTTGAATCTTTACCATCCACTCCCGTTTGCTTGGTAGGAAGTTCTAGCATGTAAGGCCAAACAAACAGGAAACAAAACAGGTATAAATGGAAAAAATTAGAAATAGCCAATCTTGCTTAGTTTGACATCTAGGTTTTGTTTGTAGATACCTGTGCCCATGGTCAAAACTTCTATTTTTCATACATAATGCAGTTATATTTTCTACTAGTAAAACTGTTCTTGTTCATACCATGAAATACAGATACATTTGATCTCATGGCACCCTGCAAAAAACATTATAACTTCCAGGTGCTTTACTAACAAGATCTAGTTTATCACGTCATGCTTCCTCTTTGGTTTCTCCCATGTTTACCAACCTGTTTATTAAGGTAGATGGCAGCACAGGAAGAATGCAAAAACAAAACAGAAAAGCCACTTACCTATAAAGAGCATCATGAGATATATTTTCAGCACATATGGGAAATAGATGGATAAGTCAAAGGGTAGCTTGGTGGAGTAAGTGCCAAATGATTCAAAATAGGGCAGCGACTGATAGATGGCAAATGCTGTTTAAAAAGAAAAAAAAGGCATCATAAAGGCTTTCCTCCTTAACTTGTTACAGGGGTGTGTATATATGCCCCCATAGCTGAAGGATACTTTGAATTTTATAATGACAGTTTTGTGAAGATTGCTGAATCCTTTAGCTGAAGCTACAGTTTGATATAGAAACCTTCTGAATTATTAAGTTGGCAGTAGGACCTGTTGAATTTTTGTCCATTGTATACTTTATTGTGCCTATGGAGAAAGAGTTTATCGTGTCTCTCAAAATGGTATTTGAAAATATATCTGTCCTCTTAGCCACAAATAGGGGTGAGAAACAAATGAATTAGGAAAATGCTGCATATATTTTTCCTTCGGAGTTTCACAACACACATTAGCATAGTAGAGATTCTTTTTTTTTTTTTGTCTTTTTCCGTGTCCGGCAACGGTTCGCAACCCTCAGTGTTGCCCCCGCACCGGACCGGGACCGGCAACGGAATCGCAACCCTCGGCGTTGCCCCCGCGCCTCGCTCAGCCAGTGAGCGGGAACCGGTCTGCATGTGGGATCCGAACCCTTGACGGGAGCGCCGCCGCGCTTCCCAAGCGGCGCACTAGCGCAGTGCGCCACCGGGCCGGCCAGCATAGTAGAGATTCTGAGAAGTTCTGCAATAAAGAAACTGGTTTCACCCAACATTTCCTCAACCTAACTGTTCTTAGAATATTTTTTAATTTCTCCCCAACCCCAGTAGTACTTAATAAAAATTCTGAGGAACTCTGTGAGAAATGCTTGCCTAAATTATTTTGAGGGAGATGGAGGTTCTATGAAATTGTATCCCATGTACAGATTTCTGATAACATTTATGGAATGAAATAATAATATACTATGTTTATGTATGATGTCATCCTTAGGGTAAGCTGGTTGAAGCGTACAAGGGTACAAGGGAACAACACACTATTTTTGCAATTTCTTGTGAGTCTAAAGTTATTTCAAAATAAAAAGTTTAAAAAAGAGAGAGATGGTAGAAAAGTCAGACGCTTCCCAAGTGGCGCACTAGCGCAGTGCGCCACCGGGCCGGCCAGCATAGTAGAGATTCTGAGAAGTTCTGCAATAAAGAAACTGGTTTCACCCAACATTTCCTCAACCTAACTGTTCTTAGAATATTTTTTAATTTCTCCCCAACCCCAGTAGTACTTAATAAAAATTCTGAGGAACTCTGTGAGAAATGCTTGCCTAAATTATTTTGAGGGAGATGGAGGTTCTATGAAATTGTATCCCATGTACAGATTTCTGATAACATTTATGGAATGAAATAATAATATACTATGTTTATGTATGATGTCATCCTTAGGGTAAGCTGGTTGAAGCGTACAAGGGTACAAGGGAACAACACACTATTTTTGCAATTTCTTGTGAGTCTAAAGTTATTTCAAAATAAAAAGTTTAAAAAAGAGAGAGATGGTAGAAAAGTCAGGAGCCCACAGCTGTGAGAGTCAGACAGCAGGAGTATAGCAGCATAGGGGCAGGATCTGCAATTGACATGAACTTGCCAACTAAGATTAACATGGGCTGCATCTAAGTCTCTAGCACTTTATCAGTATAACAAGTTGATTTGGTTATTTAAATGAACTTCGTTTTTGTCTTATTTATCAGATGGAAAATTATAGTTATTAAAAGTAAATAAAGTTATTAACTTTATTAAAAGTTAAAATTAGAGTTATCAAAAGTTAAGTAGGTTTTCTTAACTGCATATTTTAATACTCTGGGACATTTGAAATATTTAGAAACATATAAAGATAAAATTACAGTCATCCATATTCTACCACCCAGAATTAATCATTATTGACATTTTTGTCATATGTGCTTCTAGACTTTTTCCGCATATACCTTACTTTGTAATCACAAGAATAAGTTTATGAATCTAATAAAATAATACGGGCTATATGGCAATCATATAAGAACATGGCTTCTCCTAGAAAGGGAGAGGCTTAGAATTATGAAGAATGAAAAGTTTCCTGTACATTTATTCATCCCTTATTTATTTATTTTTTTCCTTTTTTTGTCTTTTTTACTGACC